ACGAGTACCAGTCCAAGAATATATTGCTGCAAATAAGGACAGTTCGGCATCTTCCGTAAGTAAAATGGAGGAAGCGAATTAACTGAAAACTCCAGATCATCCTCGAAGGGAAGACGTCAGCTTGCAGAGTTAAAGATGGATCAGACAAGAAAACGCAACGAGCTGCAGAGAAAAAAGGAGTTGAATAATCAGCAGGCAGAGTTGCAGCGAGAACTTGAACTGCAATCAGTTCAAGACCAGTAAGCGAGGGCCGAGTTGGATGATGAAAGTGACTCTGGTTCGAGCCCAAGCGAACGCGTTCCAAAATCCGTGTTGCCTGAAAAGACATTAAGATCACAGGAAAAGGTGCAGGAGTACGTTGATCAAATCGCACAGACAAAGCTTACTACAGAGACTGAGCCACTTGTACAGAGACCTATTTGTGATGCACAATTTTTCCAAGGACTTAAAGCAAATACCGCTAGCGTGCAGGAGAGTCTCAACCTGCCAAAACCCAAACTGTTTACATTTAATAGAAATCCGGCGGATTATAGTCAATTCATCTGTAATTTTGAGACAAATATAGAATCAAGGGTAAATGACAATAGGTTAAAACTAAGCTATTTAATTCAGTTTTGTCAAGGTGACGCTAACCGTAATATTGAGGATTGTGTTGTGTTGCCGACCGAGGAGGGATTTGAACAAGCGAAACCGATATTAAAATCTACCCTTAGGAAAAGGAAAGGCATTTAACTTGTAGTTATATTGCAGTTATTTAGCAGTTTTTTCAAATAAATGCCTTTTTTACAATTTTTTGCCCTTCATCTTAATTTGTAGGATTCCATTTAAACAGCAGTTCTTAAAAAACTGGTAAAAACTTGTTGTTAAAAAAACTTGTGTCCAGCATTTTTTACCAGTTTTTCAACATTTAAAAATAAACAATACTTACATTACCATTTTTTACAAGTTATTTTCTTGAACCATTTTTTTAAGCTAAAAGATTGTTACAGAAGCTGCAGTTTTTACAAGTTTTATTTAAATGCTTTTAGGAAAATATAATTCATGCACACTAATATTCACTTAATACCTTGTAGTGCATCATAGCAATATTGTATGTGTACAACTTGTATATATAATAAGCATATTATAACTATCAAAAGTACATCAAAAGTACATGTACATGTAAGGTACATCACATAACTAATATCATACCATGTTATCAGACTAATCCACTGTCATTTCTAATTATATTTGGACATTTACTTAAACAAAGTGGTCTAATAATAATCATTAATTGTAAGTTTGTTTCTTAATTCAGCAATATCCTAACTTGATAACAAGCTTAGGTCTACATTGTACTTGAAGAGTATGCTTGCGTGCAGAAAGACCAAAGGGTTGGGACTGATCACTCCTGCGAATTGTGGTCAAAATCCCACCAGCAGCTAGACATACGAGTCAAACAAGGTTTTTCTATTTTAGCTCTGGAAGCCATTTTGTGCAGCAAAAGGGAATGTGACAGAGATATGCATAACCAGGGTTTGGTGTAAATCTTACTAGCAGTTTGATCTGTGAAGCTGCACAAAGCTTTTTCTATTTTTAGCTATGGTGGCCATTTTGTGCATCAAAACAGAAAGTGCTAGGGATATGCACAACTAGGTTTGGTACTGATCAATCCAGTGAAGATTGATCAAAATCCCAACAGTTGTTTGACAATCCAAATGAGGACGGATGGACCAACAGACGGACAGCTATGGAAAAAACAATATCATTAGAATTGTATCAATGTATGGTTATGACAAAATTTGTTTGAGACATAACAATAAAGTTACAAAGTTAAAATTATATCTACACATAAATTTATATGCAAATAGATATAGACCATGCTCCTACAATGCATAGTAATTTCTAAAAAAAATTGCATCAGTTTATTCAAGAAACACAATTATCTACTTTGACCTGTTTTAACGTTTTATATAGAATAAAACTAAAACTTGATTACCGGTAAAACTACAAAATCATGAATGATAAATATTTTTCTCTAATACTTTACATATTGGCATAGTTCTCTGTCAGAAAATCAATTCCTTTCATTTTTTGAAAAATTTTGCTCCAAATGCATCTTATATCCTTTAATTTCCCACAAAAAAACAGTGACTGTTTTTCAGTACGACCTATTGTGTGCATAATGAGTTTGTTCAATTCATCTAGTCTCTATCATATCTATTTGGAGGAGGACATATATACGATTCATCTTGGACCGTAACTATATTATTTACATTGATAATAGCATCGACTCGAATGAAGCACATTCTTTTTGTAAAGGATACTTTCCAAACACAACCAAAACATTCAAGTTTGTCAAATATCTCAACAAAAGCAAGATTTATGTTGTTTGACTGTATGAAGAATTTAACAGAACAAAACTCTGCAGAAGATGTAACCGAGTCTAAAAAAGTGGCAACATGCTGTTGTCGTTTCTGCAATCTCTTATAATCAGTCCCATACACATAGAAACCTCGTTTGTACATATTGACCTTAAAAAATTGTCTTACATTTTCATTATCAATACCATACACTGATGCAATTCTATACTCTTCCTCATTTAATTTTACCAACTTTACAGTTCCAATAGGTCTTATTCCAGGCTCTATTTCATCCTGAAATGTATGCCTGGCATCAACACTGTCATTTAATTCAGCATAAAGCTGTTTTATATCAAAATCATTTTCTAAGTATTTTAAATGTTTTTCATTCAAAATTGGAATTACTTTCAACATAACACTAATATTGATCAACTGATTATCAATGCCTTGCGTTCCATATATATGCTTTACAATATAGCCATTCAGATCTTCAAATATGAAACAGTTATTTACAAATAAGGGACCAGTTTGTGTAACGCAGTCTGCCAAATGCACAAGCTGGTGTAAATTTAAAGTATAATAACGAAGCCCATACAGATTTTGAAAACATTCAACAAATAACAATAATGCACCTTCAGCATGCTTCAGATCATTATCACTAATGTTTTCTTTTGATAATAAGTAAATTGCTCTAACAAGGAGACAGAAATGAACAAAATAATCTGAATTAAGGATATGCCTTAAAACAGGCACACCCCAGTAAAGGAGAAAGTTTCTGAACTCTGATGATTTCCAGTGACACAAATTGTCCAAACTTCTAGGCATTCTTGTAACGTAAATGGTTGGTTTGATATTTTGAAGTATATTATTCACAGTATTTTTAGATTTAAAAACAGAAAAATATTCATCTTTATTGGATTTGTCAAACCATAACGTCAGCATTGTTTTCATAACACCAAGACATACACCATGCATGTAATCAATAACACAACTATTTATAGCATCAAAATGTTTCAGATAAAGGAACCAAAATGGACCTTTATGCCCTCTCACTATGTAATTTTTAGAGTTGCTCCGAATGTTCTCACATACACTTGCAATATCTGATTTAACAGTTTCACTAGTTCTGGGTTCGTTTTTAGGTTTTTTATGATTATATGGAAATACATGACATGTTCCACCAGTTGGAAATTTATATGTTTCCCCTTTGTCTGTACAATACCAACAACTATAACTACCATTAAACTGCATACAGTTGTATACCAGAGCTCGTGCTGGTAGGTCACATGTACAAGTCAGTAAAACACACTTTGATGTAAATACTTTTCCATTGCTGTCTGTGCACTCACATCCTTCTGTTTCCAACACTTTCAATTCCTCATATAATGGTTTTAAAAACGACCACATCTGTGGTTTTTTTGGTGATATCCAAGCCCCATAGAAAATGGACATGTCCCTCTGTTTACGCATGCTTATTGGAAGCTCATTTATTAAAAGATAAACTGGCCATATCCCTATGTTTGATGATTTAAAAAGGGGAACACCATCAGTATTTAAAGCAAAAGATAAGTTATTTTCATCTCCAAGAATACCGCTCTCATTGTTGAACAACTTTTTGTATAATTTACCATCATATATGTCACTAATACTTGTTACACCTTTTTTGCTTTCATAGTGTTTAAACCTGTGTGATCTGACAGCATTTGCAAATGAAGAATTTTTCCATAATAACTGTAATTGGGCTTCAATTTTCAATTGTACAAAGTATGACATAGAACCACTTCCTGTCAGGGACTTTGAACACTCAGGACATGTTTTACATTGACGATTGACTTCACAATAACAGAAGTTACAGTAATAGAAGAGTGATGGTCGCATGTTTACTGTATACTCTTTCAAAAACTTCCTAAAATTGTACAATGTGTTCATAAGTCTGTGACCATGTGGTAGGATGCATGAAACAATTTTTAGGAGATAATCAATGGCTTGTTCAGGAAGACGAAATCTTATTATAAAAGCGCAAATGAGTAATATAGTAACACCTAAAGTATACGGTGATCCTTGAAACAACGCTTTTGATGCAGAGTCACATTCCCCATCATTACTGACTTTGTACTTTTCAGATGTTGATATCTGGGCAGTTTCAATAACCTCGGTAATTTCTTCAATAACTTCAGCCTGTTCCTCTTCTGCAAGACAGTAATTTTCATAGTTTCTCTCTCTTATTTCCTCATGTAAACCTTTAATGAGGTCATCAAAATCTCTATCACAGGCTTTCAAGTGGCCAATAACAAAAAAGTAGGGATAAAAGTAGGATTTTTTTTGTAAAAAAGTAGGGAAAAGTAGGGATTTTCAGAGCCTAAAAGTAGGGAAAGTAGGACTCTCTACTCACCTTTTTTTCCAAATGTGATTGCAAAAACAAATACAGACCCTTATCAACTAATATCCATGGCATTTTCTTCATTTAGGAAACCAGTCACCAGTGTTTCAATAGGGGTTCCACAACAGGATGAATCTAGACATGAACCTGGAATTGGTATTTTTTCTATTAGATCCAATTCCAAATAATAACAGAAAACTATAAACAATGAATATGTCAGAACAGACTATTATTATTTAGAAACATTAAACATTAAGTAAGCATGTTTTTGTACAAAGACTAGGAACAGGAAATGTGTTAAAACCTTGTTTAAGATAGCATGGTTGTTACAAAATACAAACAAGAAAAACGTTATGTGCAAAAACATGGTTTTAGCTAGCATAATATGTGAAACACAGACTACAACAAGGATAGGTGTTAAAACATGATTTTTTAACTAGCATTATAACACACTGAATGAAAAGGAGTAAATGTTAAAAAAGCAATGGTTTACTAGCATCCTAGTTATGCATGGAGTTTACATGGGCATGCAAAATAGATACTTGTAACAATCAAAAGTAAATTTTAAGATATATACACAAGCAGTTAGTATGCAAAGTTAGTACATGCAAAACTGACAAATCAAAGCAAAGGTTTACACTTCATAATGTATTAAATGCAGAACTACATGTCTGCTACCCAAAGAAATATATGCATACAACTACAGAGCAAAGCATATATATTAACATGCATTGTTAAATTTTGTGAGTCCATGTGGCATTGTGAAGTTAATTTTATAAATTAATGGACCTGAAATAATAAATTGTTAGTAAAATGGAATTTAAAAAGAAACTTAATGACACTTGCAAGAAATGTAAGTTAAAAGTAGGTCTCAGATAATTCCAAAGTAGAGTATTTATATGAGTATTTATGCCATAATATATAAAAAAAATATATATTTAATGATAGAGAGCAAAAAGCCTGTTATGTAAACTTTGGATGCAACAACAATCTCTCACATCTTTAATGGTTATATAACCAATAATTGGCACACTGAAAGCCTAAACACACAAATTATCTGTTATAACATCAAGATTCCTAATCCCACACCATATTAAAGCTATCAAAATCTATCTAATTAAAGCATACATATTTTTCAGAAACATTCACTACATTTTTCCAGTTTCTTTGATTCAATGAAAATTTAGGACAAAATGATCACAGTGAGCAAGTTCAATACTTGCCAATATGCCAAACATTGCCTAAAATCTATATAATGCTCAAAGATGTTGGCAAGTATTGTCCTCTGACAGTATAAGCATCATTGGGAAACAATTAAGAAGCTAGTCTGTGTACAAAAACATGTACAAAAACATATTATAATTTTGAAATGAGACAATTGAGAAGCTAGTCTGTGTACCAAAACATATTATAATTTTGAAATAAAACAATTGAGAAGCTAGTCTGTGTACAAAACATATTATAATTTTGAAATGAAACAATTGAGAAGCTAGTCTGCGTTCAAAAACATATTATAATTTTGAAATGAAACAATTGAGAAGCTAGTCTGTGTACAAAAACTTATTATAATTTTGAAATGAAACATTGAGAAGCTAGTCCTTGTACAAAAACTTATTATAATTTCGAAATGAAACAATTGAGAAGCTAGTCTGTGTTCAAAAACATATTATAATTTTGAAATGAAACAATTGAGAAGCTAGTCTGTGTTCCAAAACATATTATAATTTTGAAATGAAACAATTGAGAAGCTAGTCTGTGTACAAAAACTTATTATAATTCTGAAATGAAACATTGAGAAGCTAGTCTGTGTACAAAAACTTATTATAATTTCGAAATGAAACAATTGAGAAGCTAGTCTGTGTACAAAAACATATTATAATTTTGAAATGAAACATTGAGAAGCTAGTCTGTGTACAAAAACATATTATAATTTTGAATGAAACATAAAAAATAATTGAACACCTAGTAATATTTCTATAGAAGCAAACTCACCTAAAGTTGCTGATTCTGCCAAGTCAGCTCCAACCATCCTCATCATGGAACCCCTCTTGCACCACTGATGACCTACTTTCATCAACTTTTTCCTACAATTAAACTAGCATCTGATTCTTATTTAATTTGAGATAAAGATTATCTCAAAATCAATCTACTACTTAAACTGGATTTTTTGTCAATGATCCTCGAGCTTTTTTTCTTAAAAAAGTAGGGATAGTAGGGCATTTCAAGAAAAAAGTAGGGAAAAGTAGGGTTCAAACAAAAAAGTAGGGAAAAGTAGGAAAAATAGGAAAAGTAGGGCCCGCTTGAAAGCTAGTATCAAGATCATCATTTCTTATCGAGTTCATGTAAACATTTTGTGAATCATTGACATTTATATTTTCTAAATTTTTTGAGTTACAGTCATCCAAATTTTGTGAATTACCACAGTCATCTGTATTTTCTTTATTTGGTGAATCACAGTTTTCTTTATTTTCTATATTTGGGGAATTACAGTCATAAATATTCTCTATGTCTGAGGAATTACATTCATCTGTTTCTGTTGTTGTGCTCTTATCTTCCGCCCTTGACTCAACATCTGTAACATGGTTCTCAAAAACTGCCGCATAAGAAGTCTCAAAAACCTCTATTTCAGGTGACTGAAAAACCTTTAAAGTCTCGGCATTACAGTTTGCCTGTGATTCAGCTGGTTTTAGTTCTTTAACTGAACAGTCAACCTGCAAATAAAAAAAAATCTTTTTTTTTCAAATCCCTTTTTGAAACATTTTGATGAGCTTCATTTAAATGAACAATTCTGGAAACTTAGAACACATTTTTGTGTTTAGTATTCAAGTACATGTATTGCTATTTTTTCTATAACAATTATATACATTATAAAGCCTAGTGTAAGTAGTGATGGAAAATCGGTCAGTTTTCATAATCGATTATCGAATATAATCTGAAAGCCTTAATCGATTAATTATCGATTATTAATCGAACGTCTATGAAGACAAGAAATATGCACATTTTAATGCACAGGACATAATTTCTTATAAAAGTTACAAATGCCCTTTTCCTTGTTCCTTGAACCCTTTATAAAAATGTTTTCGGGTCATTTTTTTTTGGATTTATAATACCATAAAAATCATATCTTGTTCTTTTTGATGAAAAAAGTAAAATTGAAAATGAAATATGTTTGCATTTATTTTTAGATTATAATCGATTCTAAATAAATACTATCCATTATCTAATCGAAACACCTTTTCGATTGATTATTCGATTAAAATTTATCGTTACAACACTAAGCTAGTGTAAGTGCATTTTTTTTTTCAAAATCTGGGACACATGATATACTGCATGGTTATAGTATTCTTACATAAATCATGTGAAAATAACCCAAAGGCAGGGCTCGACACTAACGATGGTCCGTTAGCCCGAGGCTACCAATTTTCCCCAAGGACTACCCGAGTTTCCAAGCTGGGTATCCCATCGGGCTACTCAAAATTTCAGTGACCTGGGGCCGTATTCATAAAGGATCTTAAGTTTTAAGGGAAACATTTCCTTATCTTCAAAAAAACTCCCTAAGGTAAAATTTTCCCTTAACTTAGAGGTCAAAAATCCCTTAAGTGAATTCCTTAGGCAAGAAATTCCTTAAAGGGAAAGACAAGGTTAGAATTAAAACTTGATTTCAGAAAAAGAATACTATAAATAATAACTCTGCAAATTTTCTGCCGCCAAATAATAATATTAAACGAATGAAAACAAAATTTAAATAGCTAAATCACCGATTTCTACAAATCAGTAGGCGCGGGCCCTGTTTGTGTATTGGCCGTATAAAAACAGGTGCGTGTGATGTCATTTCCCCACATCTTTAGATTTATGATAAATCTAGTTGAATCGTAGCGAAATATTAATATGAATATAAGTATTGACCAGACAATTTAATTTTTCACAGGAGGTGTAGAGGAGATTTTTTATGGTTCAAAAACGTAACAATATCCTAAAAAAAATAAAAATAAAATAAAGAAACAAAATAAAAAATCACGTCTACCGGTCGCACCACTTCAGGCCAGTGATGCCCCGTTACTCCAAACAATGCTATGTTCATTAAAGTCTCATCTTGATGTAGTTAAACAATATTTCACAGATTTAATAAATAAACATGTTATTATTTAACAAAGTTTCACAATCAAATAATGAAATTAATTAAAAAAACGCACCAAGGAATAATTGGCTGTTAATTATTGAACGGCGATAATTATCATTATTATAAAAAATCCTACTAAAACGTGTTCTTAATAGTACATGTAATTAAATTTTTTGCAGTTTGATTCTGACTTTCAAATTGAAAGGTGTGAACATATGTTATAATTGATGTACACATTTCAAAAATATAAGCAACCCTTTTGAAAAGTAAATTGTTAACATGTCTGTCAACGTATGATGCTGCGCATCGTAATCGTAACCTAATATTTACTGCAGGCAAAACATTTTTATTGGCTGCTCAAAAATCTAATTTGCATAATTTATTCACACAATTGCTGGTTCTTACTACGTATGTCTAATATTATGCATTGTCCTTTTTAATTGTTCCTAATTTGCACCAAATGTTCCTGTCACACTGTGTACTGACGATTTTTATTGCTCCTTGTAAGCCCCTGTGCCGACAGACCTTTTGATCATGCACAATGTTGCCCTGATTGGTTAATCACCCTTGTCAAATATTCTAATGATGAAATAGACATCTATTTTTTTTTTTACGCTTCATCAGTGAACTGAATGACCTTTGGGGAAATTAAGTTACACACGTGTCAAATTATACTGTAAATTACAGCATTTCATAAAATAGCAACACATTTTTTTTCAGTTACCAATAATCATTTTAAATATTAAGTAGATTTATGATTTTTTATTGGATTAAATTTACGGTAGTAGAAATGCGTATCTGTGTGGGAAAGGGATTGGGTAAGTAGATAACGTGGAAAAAAGCTATAGGGAACTGGATAAACCCGAGAATATGCGTAATTACAGGGGAATGGGCAACCTGTTGCTGTTGGTACCAGTTTTGACTGGATGCCTAAATAACCTAACTGACAGTTTTGTTTTCATACGATATTAGTCTGGCTGCCGATTTTCCTGCGCCATTCTCATTTTTAGCGTCAATGGCGGAAAATCGCGTCCTCAGCAGATCTCCGCATATTGGTTTTAGTTGATATTTCACGCTGAAAAAAAGATACATGACCGGCGATGTACCTTATTCGGACAGCTTGTTTAGCGAAAATTAAGTACAAAATAAAAGGATATATCGTCAATTTGAAGAAGTTTCTCATAGTACTCAAATTAAATTGATGGTTTATCTTTGAAAATTAAGCAGTCAATGCTTAAATCATGTGGTGGGATCATCAGCAAGCTTGAAAATCGGACAAATGATAATTAATGTCGCGGCGTCTTCAATTAATTAATTAAAGCGATTCAGTTCCATATGATGTTTTCATAAATAATATATAATATACGCAATAAGATTAATAAGTTCTTCATCAAGATATATTTCAGTTGTACCAGCGTGTACACTTATACCGGAAGTGGGTGTAACACGTCACAATCTCGGTCTCGTCTGTCTCGCGAGAATGACAGAACGCCAAAATGGCGGCGCCCATGAACTTATTTCTCAAGTAAAAAATAGTGTCTTAAAACACGAATTTCTCACTTATAGGGTTGATGTCAACAGAAAAACTGTCATGGTACCTCTTTTTAAATGATGAATATTTATATTAGACAGACATCAATCCATCCATTCCTATTCCTTTAACTTAAATTTTATCCTAAGGCGAAAATTTCGTTTAATAGCAGTTTTTCTATTTGTAATTACCGACTGGAGAGCACTGACTGTGCTAAAAATAGTAACAAAACCAAGATGGCTGACCTAGAGCAGGAAATGCGCGACGTTTCAGACCTTTCATGGATATTTGTTGTATTTCATGGAATTATTCGGACAATCATCATAGGACGAAGGCAGAGGAAAACGATTGTGGGTTTAACACTAGTGACATGGTTTGAGACTGACGTTTTTAAACAATATCAGTTTCATTCGCATGTCGTTCTTGTTTACCTAACTCGCTTCGAAATTTTCCGAAATTACAAAGTGAAAGTAGGGTAAGTGTTTACTATTTTACTGATAAATTAGGCCGATATGATTAAACATACGTAATAGCATGTTTATACAAGAACCATTGTTTCACTCCTAATTGATTTCTTGACGATACATTTGACTATTTTCTGAATTTCGAGTCAATAACTCAAATTATTCGTCCCCTGGTTACTTCGTGCACATTTTGCCTTTTTGGTAAATTGTTGGAAGTTGATATTTTTTCTGAAAAAAAAACCCCATCTTTGTAACAAATTAAAAAGCCGTGTTGCAAGGGGGTTATTGGAAAATGTTAAAATATTCAGAAAATTGCCTCCACTGGAACAGAAATTTCCGGTTAGCTGCGTTGTTTGGCTAATATACGAACGAATTATTTTCATCGGATATTATTATGATTAAATCTCCGTCGATTCCAAAATGGATAGTAGCTGGATTTGTTATTTGAGAAAGGGAATGAACAAATCGTCTGCTAATCGGCCATTTTTTTCTTCATTTTTATCCCTTAACTTATTCCCTTAAAAGTTAATGGAGCATATGGGCTACCTTAATATTTAAGGGAAAAAATCGGCCAAAATTGAGGAATTTTTGTCCTTAGGAGTTTTATGAATAGCAACTAAGGAAATTCTTAAAAAGTAAGGGAAATTCTTAAAAAGTAAGGGAAATCTTACGTTTTTTAAGGGAAATCTTAGAATCTAAGGGAATTTTTTCCCTTAGGAGCTTTATGAATACGGCCCCTGATGTCTCTAAATTCACTAAAAATAATTAATAAAATAACATTTTTTAGGCTATGATTGAAAACGAAAGATAAATTCATCTTACTAGTAAATAATTAGCCGTTGGGTCACTAGTGTCAGTCACAGCAGACGCACAATAGATTCTATTTAATCTCTATAAAGTTGCGAAAAAGTGAAACCGGAAGTCCAACTTAATTGCCGATTTTTCCAGCCTACTTCAATAGAATTCTTTGTCTATTAAACATTTCAATGAAAATATTTGCTTATATTGGAACCTATTCAAGGGTTTTAACTTAAAAGAATATGATTTGTTGATTGGTGTAAATCACACTGACAATGATAACCAAAATAAACGTGTTGTCTGAAATAGATCTAATTTCGGATGTAATTTATTCGGACATGAAATTATTGATTGGGAAAAAATCTCTTTATAAAAAAAGAGAAGAAAAATGTTTAATCTCTTTAAAAAAGAGAAAAGAAATATTCTAAAGTATTTGTAATTGTCTTTGCCATAACTTCACAATGTTGTCAGCATTTCTTAATCATGTACAAGCAAATGTAAGCAATAATGCCAATACATGTATATGAAGAAAACAATTGTTAACAAATACTAATACCCTAGGCATAAAAAACTAAGACAATATAGTTTGATTAAATGGCTTTACATTTCAAATTTTGTGTTTAAATCAGGAACAACAGATATTAATCTAATGTCCCTATTTAAATCTTCTGACAGTTAAATAACTGAATTACTAGCACTAGTAAAAGTTTGTTATTCTGATATTTTGTTGTTTTATGTCTGACAAAATAAGTTTGTAGAATAAATCAATTAGAGTAAAGACAAACATATTTTGTTCTTGTCCAAGCTTTTTACTTCTGTTTTGAATTTAAAAACACATCTAAAAGGTCATACATTATCTATACCTGAAAAGTAGATTTGTAATCTCTATTGAAATATTTTTTTTTTATACAAAAGCCAGGTATTACATAAATTTAAAACTGACATACTTATTTAGCTCATATTGCCAATATATTCTCCCCTTCCCTATAAGCTGTCAATAATATAAGCTGAGCTGATTGCCTAGCAATTTTATTTGCAACACACCTTAGTAATTCCTTAGTAGAACCCTTTCAAAACCTATTGACTTTTATGTGTCACACTGCCATATTTTATAACAAAAATATGTAAAAAAATTGTTGATGATGACTTTGAAGAGCTCAGAGGCTAGCCGGAACCTACATCTCATGCAGAGTAAAGCTTACAAACTTTTACTAGATCTTATATGATTTATCTATTGGTGATTTTTTCAAATAAATTTGAAGAGATCTCATGCAATTGTTTTCTTATCTTCAGATACATACACTCAAAATGCATTTAAATAGAATAAGAAACATTTTTTATGTTTAAAAATGAGGACTACCTAGATTTGCCAAGGACTACCTGATCCTCAAAGTAGGTAGTCCTTCTGACTACCCCTAAAAAAGTTAGTGTCAAGCCCTGAAAGGGCCATAAACCTTCCAAAAAATTATCACAAAACCTGGACAATATGCACAAGGGTACTTAGTGGTGTTTTATAACTTATACAGACTTTAAGCTACCACAAATTCAAGTCTATATTTAACAAATTATTTTCTATGGCGGATGTTGATATTGGTTGCAATTTCATGAATAGTATTCGACTTTAGCTTTGAAATCCACAAGCCATATTCGGGCCAGTACTTGCCCATCATTCACTGGCCATACTTCAGTTTTACTGCCCCCTCATAGAACGGCATCTATGACCGAGAATCATGAATGAAATTAAACCTTCATAATTTTAATGAACAAAAAGACACCAATGAAAGCTTTGAGTTTTGAAATGAATCACTTAACAATAATAGAAAAAATCATCAAAGCTTTCTAAAACCAAATTTAAGAAAAGACTCCTGAACAAAAGGTGTTTACATTAATTAATATCATCTTAAAATTCAGGAAATGTTCATCCTTACAATCATCAGTCAAGCTAATCCACCTAGTTACAAAGCATTTTGTCATTCGTTAAAGGTATATATGAGCATTGCGATTGGAATATATATATCAAGCACTAGCCGGGAGGCCGAGCATACTAATTATCAAGTTTTGTCAATTCATTTTCCGAGATAAACATCTGCATGTTGTTTGAAGAATTAAATGGCCAGTTAGAAAGGTGTTTATCTAGTTGATTAGGCAATGTACCTGTTGAACAAGGCGTCCTCTGACAAAAATAAAGCATACAGGAGGACTTGATTCTTTTGAAAATATGTATCCTAGCTGTGACAGACAAAATAGTGTTGCTTCACTGTACGCAAGAGAACTATGAATTTTATTGCAGTCCTCCACGCAGGAAAAAATTGACAGGGGAAACAAGTCTTTCATTGCTGTCTTTCCCCTTAAAAATTATCTGCATGACAGTAAAATCTACATGGATTTTTATTGTACTTTCAATATTCATTTAGATTTGTTATGGTTCTTAAAATAGCTCATTTTGGCCAAAAATGTACTCCAATCTAATATGTTTGTGACTTAATTGTTACTTATTACCAGTGTTATCTGACTATTCCGAATTTTCAATGTTAACAAGCTGTACTTTCGGAATTCTTTGTTTACAATCTTGTGTAAATATTTTTTACCTTATCGGTAAAATTATATACTTTTTGTTGGTTGGAATAATATATTACAGTATTAACGTAGACCAATATTAAAATGTTAAGGATAATTCATATTTCAAGTACTTGAAAACTCACGTTTTCATGTACTTGAAAACTCATGTACGATTAACTTAATCATGATTCAGGTATGTCATGCCCTACGTAACTCATGTTTAGGCTAATCTCTCAGTCACTGGCTATTCAATTCTATTTGTCGCGAAAACATATTGCTTTTGAAAGTATGCATGTTTAGATTAAAATACTTACCGAGTAATGAACAAATTTGTCTTTGCCATACGGACCACGTCTACGTTTTTTTGTTGGCTGCTCCATTTAAGAATAATTCTATTCTATTAAAAAGTTAACTAGTCTTCCCTAAACGCTGTTTTCTTTATTGCTGCTACTGACTGCTGTTTTTTAAACGAAAATAATTGTGCTACTAAATAAAATCTTTTAATTTTTCTTATGCACATTTAATATCTAGGTCATCTTTTTCATATTTCATTCCTGTTTTTAAGAAATATAAAAAGAATTGAATCGTGTTTCCATCAATAATATAATTGATTAGGTGAATCTGTTTTTCGTCAACAACAAATTCTACTAAACATCTATTTACTTGGCGGCTTCCATTTCAAAATGGTTGGAGGGTTTTTATATTTAAGGACAATTAAACTAGATTGAAGAGAAAAGTATTAAGGAGAATAATATTATAAATATAATGTAAGATTTGATGAATAACTATAAATATACTTACAGATTTTTTTCTTTGGAACAAAACAAAATAACACCCTTTTCCTACTGTAAATGAAATCGAGGAGACCTTAAATCGACCAATCGAAACCCGAGTTTTAAGGCGGTAAATGTTGGAAAAATGGCGACCAACTGTTTCAGTGTCAAGGATTCTTATTTTGTGTTTTCTTCATGTATGACAAAGTTTTAGAGATATTGCAGCGAATAGGATCGGTGAAATCTCCGAAGATAATGACAATGTAACTTGTCAACTACCCAACGTCGTACATCGATGATTATGGAGAAATTGCTCGCGCGAGGTTCCTTACGAAGGTGTTGTCGTATTTTCTGGAAGTAAGTGAAAATACCTGAATTATGTCAACTCAGATGGGATACTTCCCATATATGACTTACCTTATGTCAATTTCAGCACAATTATAATTACAGGCTTAAAAGGAATACGGGCTAATTCGGACCATAGTCGATCCGACCTAAGCTGATTCGGCCCACATTTTTGGCTGTTTAGGCCAATTTTTATAAAGTTTAGAATATAATTGAAAAATACATTAATTTGTAGCTCAGTTTAAAGACAAGTTTTTATTTTTGATATAGACATTGCTCCTTTGTAAAATGTGTCCAACCATATGACAAATTAATTAGGCTATACTCTCATAAACTCATTAAAAGGAAATTTTTGTCTAGAAACTTTAAGTGATTTTTATCATTATCTAGATCTATCTCTTAGTACCTGCCATACCCTCTCGCGACTGTAAAAGGCAGGAGATACAGCAAACGGTATCTAGAACTTGAAGAAGTTAAATACAGGTCAATAATATGAACAAGGCAAAGCGATTTACTTTTACCGGTCTCACTAAAAAGCGTCCCGAAGGATTTTAGCGTCCCGAAGCGTCCTGAAGCGTCCCGAAGCATTATTGTTAATTTAAACAGTCAGAAGGGTTATATTTATTGTAAATAATGTATATTATTATGTATTGAGGTATTTGTGGTAGAAAAAAATAATCTTACTTATCATTTTTTTTCTATTTATATAAAAAAAACTAATATACCTTCGACTCCAGTTCACTTGCTCAAAAACCACCGTATACCGACAAAGCGTCCGGAAGGTTAAATTAAAATAGTTATCGAAACAAAATTATTTTGAAATACTTCGTAATTTTAGTTAATGAAATAGTTATGTAAGTAAAAATAATAAGAAAAATGTTTTTCCATACATAAAATTATCTTTATAGCGCCCGAAATCGTACGTCTATCCACGCATAGTTCAAGTTGCTAACTGACTAACATAGCGTCCCGAAACGTATTCATGTTTTTTTATTTTTATCTAAGCAAAGATAAATCGTAATTAAGTTAATTTATGATATGTGTAAGTGACATCAAAAAGGAAATAAACATTTCATCCACAAAATAATCATTTTACAGCGCGAAAAAACCGTTTCCCCATGTTGCGCTAAAAAAGCGTCCGAAGAATTTAGCGTCCCGAATGTCATGAAGCGTCCCGAAGCATTATTGTTAATTTAAACAGTCAGAATGGTTATATTTATTGTAAATAATGGTACATTATTATGTATTGAGGTATTTGTGGTAGAAAAAAATAATCTTACTTATATCATTTTTTCTATTTTATAAAAAACTAATATACCTTCGACTCCAGTTCACTTGCTCAAGAAACCACCGTATACCGACAAAGCGTCCCGGAAGGTTAAATTTTATCTGAACCAAAATTATTTTGAAAATAACTTCGTAATTTTATTAATGAAATAGTAATGTAAGTCAACATATACGAGAAAAAATGTTTTCCATACAAAAATTATCTTTATAGGCGCCCCGAAATCGTACATCTATCCACGCATAGTTTCAAGTTGCTAACTGACTACACATAGCGTCCCCCGAAACGTATTCAATGGTTTTTTATTTTTATCCAAGCAAAGATAAATCGTAATTTAAAGTTCTTTTATGAATACGTATAAGTGACATTAAAAAAGGAAATAAACATTTCATCCCAAAAATATTATTTTAAGGCGCGAAAACTGACGATTTCCCCATGGCGCCTAACAAAGCGTCCCGAAGAATTTTTAGCGTCCCCGAAATGTTCATGAAGGTCCGAAGCATTATTGTTTAATTTAAACAGTCAGAAGGTTATATTTATTGTAAGTAATGTATATTATTATGTATTGAGGTATTTATGGTAGAAAAAAATAATCTTTACTTATCATTTTTTCTATTTTATTAAAAAAAACTACAACTATACCTTCGACATCCAGTTCACTTGCTCAAAAACCACCGTATATCCGACAAAGCGTCCGGAAGGTTTAAAATGTTTTCGAAACACAAAAATTTATTTTGAAATACTTTCGTAATTTTAGTTAATGAAATAGTAAATGTTAAGTAACAATAGCGAGAAAAATGTTTTCCATACAGTAAATTATATTATCTTTATTACGCCCGAAACCGTACATCTATCCACCCATGTTTCAAGTTGCTAATGACTAACATAGCGTCCCAAACGTCTTCATGGTATTTTTTTTATCTAAGCAAAGATAAATCGTGTTTTTTTCTTTTATGTTATGTGTAAGTGACATAAAGAAGGAAAATAAACTTTTCATCCACAAAATATCATTATAAGCAGCACAAAAAACTGACGTTTCCATGTTGCGCTAAACAAAGCGTCCCGAACAAATTTAGCGTCCCGAAGCAGTTTCCACTTTTAACATCGACATATAATTAAAAAAAAATCACTATCCATTTAAATATTGTTTTTTTTTTTCTAGATGATATTATTCAGGAAGACAGTTCTTCTCTATCAAATATTATTTGATATCCAGAAAGATTAAAGTAGACATGGGGCGTGCGCAGTTGATGACACACTCTCATATATTCCTAAAATTAGGAAAGCGTCCCCGGAAGGAATGTTATTGTAATCCAAAAAAAGTTGATATTGTAATAAATTGTATATAGCCGAAATACAATCATTATCAAGTAACATTTGTTTTTATGGATAATATTAATCGGTTCCACGTTAGCCATGTCGCGCTAAAAAAAGTCCGGAAAAAAAACCCTGATAGTATTTTGAAATAAATGGTAACTTATTGAAATCATTGTTTATTCTAAATTGTACCGATCATGACATTATGTATTATCATAAGAAGGTTATATATTTTATAACACTTTTATGTAACATGTTGTAAAAGCAAAATTTTTTAATGTTTGTATTTATAAATATTTCATGGAATGGCACGGACTGGCAGTGTCATTTTTTCGGTTTGTATGTACTGTAGGTAATTATAACATTTAGGTGCCACGAGCACACTGTTCTTATAATCTATTTAATTATTGATTTGTGATTTCATTGTCTCGTTCCCTTAAATGTTGATTAGTGTGTTCATTTCATTGCAATCCCTAAATATCATTTTGTCAAGTTAATAAATAATATACATGACATCCCACCTAACAAGACTATTATCATTATGATTTGTTTTAAATTGTCTAAATTTTAATTATTGTATTTCTAATTTTTTAAAGCCGTAAACGGAGTGAAAGATTGTAATCTATCGATAGAGGAAATTAACCGCAATCGCTATGGATACCGCAACACCCATCCACCCCCGTTTGTGTACGCATTACTGAAGAGTCCAGATAACTGCCTTTTCCTAGTTTATTGCATTGTATATCCGGACATTCGTTCGTAAACTGTGAATAAGTTATGTAATAGTTTTTAGACATTTTTGTGTATAATACAGTACATATTTGTTGTTTTCTGTGATATCTTAACACTAAAAAATGTAAAATTTCAAAAATCGTATGATAATTTTTTTAAAACTTTTTTTTTTTTTCAGACTCTATATCACAGTAGATATGTAAAAATAGTGTATATTACACGGGCAAAATCATGAAATTGTGAATACCTGAAATAGTATGTAAGTATTGGTAAGTATTACAATAAGTTTTATAAACAGGTAATTACCGATATTTTGAATTAATACAAGGAAATATACATTTATTCTGTTTCTGTATATATTCATTACTTTTGTATGATGCACTGATAGAAAAAGGTAATTCATTGGTAAGGTTATATTCCGATTGATTTAAATTGACAACTGAGGTAATTTCTTTCGAGACATGTGTGTGGCCCTTAAAAGGGCCTTTTGTGTGTCCTTAAAAGGACAGTTTTTCAGCCAATTCACGTATCTGTTTTTTACACAGCACGCGTTGTAATCTGGCCCTGAATTTTTTGTGCCCGTTTGTGTTAAGATGGACCTTGTCGTGTGGTAGTTCTTACAGTATTTAATATCATTGAATCGAATTAAATATTCTTTGAATTTTTTCGCCAGCCTTTTATTAATGTATTTTATTTGATTTCCGAAGCGCTCTTTTGTCAAACCGGTGCTTTTAGAAAATTCGCCCTGTGGTCAAAATTTCACAAATAAAACTTTTTTAACCCCAGAGGCCTTTAAATTATCCACAAGAAAATTTGGATTCTACTGACAATTTCGTTCGGGAATGATGTAGGCTGTTATGTCATTACCGCCCTACATTCAGAACTACAACATCTGCGTTTTGGCGCAGCAGACGAGAATATAGGGCATGGTCCATATGGTCCGGTTCTTAGACCGCCTTTAAAACACCAAATGCACGTGCCCTGGTATTAACAGTGGATCTTCGGCACAGTGATAGTGAAGACGTTTTGATATAAAACTGTCACCAAATAGTACGACTTTAGCCATTGTAAGTCAGACTGTAATCAGTACGCAATAACTAGTAGTTTATAAACATCTAAAACTGAGCTGAAAATGTCATATTTTAATGTTTGAATGAAGTAAACTGTTAACACAATGTAACACCTACCTGCATAAAATAGTGCCTGAAGTAATTATATATCAATCACGATTTGTATACAGCCGTAAGTGTGAAAAAATAGCATACCTACTCCCTTAGATAGTCTCTTGTTAATTCGTTCAAATTATATACATAAGATATATAATTTTTTTTTTCCAATTTCAAATTTTATTGCCTGAAACATTATACATATAGCATATAATCAACATAAACATATATACATTTACTTACATATATATGCAAGCATTGCA